CTTAAGGATGTGAATGTAAGATTCAATGATTTGACTTCTTTCTAGACAATCAAACTGAGCGAGCAGTAAAGTAGATGCTGGTGACAAATGCTGAGAAAAGGAAAGCAAAATCCCCAAGATTTCTGAATAATGACTAGCATTTAACTCTGAGCAGCATTTACACAAAGAGAAACAAAATTATTACAATAGTAGGCGTCATAAAATACCAGGACCTAGGAAACTGAAAGTAGTAAGAATGAGTAATTCAGTCAAAAAATTCAAGGGCACAGTTACCAAGGCTGAATAAAATTTCAGAAAACTGAGGAAAAGGCCTTTGAAAATGATGAAGGGATTACAAATTGTAAAATAGGTGGCAGGAACTATCGTCAAAGAAATCACAAACAGAAAAGAAACACCGTGTCATCTAATCAGCGTGCTGAGAGCTGAGGAATAAAAAATGGAGTGGAGGAAACATGCCTGTCTGGGTCTTCTTAAAAATGTTCCTAGCCACTCACTGGGTAGTAACACTTCTGCTCAGGAAGTACTTAACAGCAGAAAAGCATTACAGTAGAGGAGGTAAAGCAACCCAAACTGCCAGCATTTGGTATCCTGCTCTTCCTATTGTGCCATTGGTTATGTAGCACTGGCTATCTGAATTTATTTTAATAAATAGTATGGTGAAATAACTGTTTAAAGGACAGTCATAACAAATTTGGTTTAGAGTCATAAATTCTGAAAAGAATTACTGTGTATATTTAAGAGTTTATTTCTCTGTTTGGGGCTTGTGGTGAAATTTTAAGTATGATTTTATCTGAGCTGATTTAACCACCCTTATCTTAAGCAACAGAATTATAGTCTTGAACACCCACCTACCTTATTTCTAGAATGTCACACAGACTTAAAGCAAGTATCGTGGCTGAAGTAACAAGTTAAAAGTAGGAAGCTAGAAGGCTTTGTTTAGTGAGGATCTATAATAAACTTAGGTAATGACTTCTCACATTTTAATTTCACTGTAGTAAAGTTTAAAGTGTAACTAACAACAGTGTGAAATAACTAGTTTACTGCTTAATAGTGTGGAGCAAGGAAATTTTTAGAATTAACGACTCCATGAGACCAAAATGAAAACTACAGCAAATTCAGTCAAAATATGATGATATATGAAATCTCCCAGGGCTGTGAGAAATGAGGAAATAGGGAGCTTTTGGTAAATGTTTGTTTTGTGACCCTTTGCATGGTGACTAGCCATTGGCTCTGTCAAGCTCGTGACAAATCTGTAAGAGAGATTGGTGTCTATGAGGACTGCTCAACCTTCAGTAACAACTGAAAGCTCTCACAAGCAGATGACTGGGGGACTGTGAGAAACCATTTTGTTGGTCTCTGGGTGGATAAGGACTCACACTTTAATGAGTACTAATTAATAATCTTTCCAGGAACATTGACAAGGCACTATGCATGGAGTACCTGTGTGGGGGGAAAAAAAAAAAAAAGCTATTCATGCTCAAAAAGCTGAGTTTTCAAATCAACGGGTTTGTGCGTAGTCGGACAAGATTTCATTCTTCACCTGTCTTTTCTAGTCGGTGAAGTAGTTTTCCAGTGTGTTGGCTTTTTTAGGACCGAATCAGAAAAGTAATGCAGAACTACCAGCAAGTACTGCTACTTCTCTTGCTACTTCACTTGGACGTGCCAGCTCTACCACTACAGTTCTACTTCCTCAGATGCTTATGGGGCATCTGAAAAACAAGCCCATATTCTTAATTATCTATGCTACTTCTGGGAAGGCTGTGCAAGAACTGCAGGGGATGTGCTACTGTTATTTGCTTCTCCCAGCATATTGTTATGTCCCCTGCACAAACATAATCCATGCAATTCAGCCCTTACAATTTAGAAACAATGTCTATGAAAAATTGGTGTAATGCTTCCATTAGGGAAATCTCTTGTTAAACCTCTGACATTAACAACTTAATCACAGGGGTACAGGATATAAGTTGACAACAAATGGCTAGCTAGCAGAATGTAGTTGAGTGTAGATTATGGTAGGATTTGTACAAACAGGAATTTGCTGCTGCCATTTTTTTCTGTATTTTATACTCGTAGTAGAAGTCTCTGTTTTGCTCTGTTGGGTTGACATATAGAATCTTCTTGTCATTAGCAGGTACTTCTTGCCAATATATTGGTTTATAAGTTTTCAGTGATAAATCAGTGACACAAAGTTCTTTTCCATTTTTGTTGACTGAGAGTTGCCGTTTGAATATTAAGTAAAATTTAATTTACTCTCACAACAGCATAGATAATGTCTGAAAATATTATTATTCCACAGGGTAGAAACTATCTGTTAACCTCTCCATGCAACATTAACTATCTTGACATTTTATTTGAAAAGACAAAATCAAGCTAAACCATGTAAGAATGATGTTGACATTGTTCTTGTGTAATCACAGAATCATAGAATGGCCCAGGCTGGAAGGGACCTTAGAGATCATTTAATCCAGCCTCCCTGTTGCCAGGGATGCCACCTCTCGACTAGATCAGACAACACATGGGGACCAGACGGGAATCGAACCTGCAACCTTGGCATTGTTAGTGCCACACTCAACTGACTGAGCTAACTGGCCCTCCTCTTACTGTCTTCCTACTATGCTTTTTCTGCCATTTTCATCATTCTCCTGATAAAATTATAAACACTATTACACAATAAACATTAGAAATGTAATCTCAAATCAAATCAGCTGAAAAGAGATTAGTTTCATTATTTAAACAAAAGAAATATTGTTCCTACTCTATTTGCTTCTGGAAATTGAAAAGTGAAGATGGGATAGGGGATAGAATCATAGAATCATAAAATTGTCAGGGTTGGAAGGGACCTTAAAGATCATCTAGTTCCAACTCCCCTTGAGTTTCAACCCATTTGGGGCTGAAAATAAATATTATTTTTAAAATAAACTTTAAATAACCATCTTCACATTGTGGACTCTTAGTGTTAGCAACTCATTTATATTGCCACACAGTAAAAATAGCTGGGCAGAATTGTATTTTAGTGACAGTTTTGCCCACAAGAACTGCAAGATGTTATTCCATCAATAAAATCAGAATTCTTGCCATGAATAAATGACAGTCTGAATCCTCAGTCAGTTAGAGTGTGGTGCTGATAACACCAAGGTCGCGGGTTTGATCCCCATTCGGTCTCCATGTGTTGCCTGATCTAGTTGAGAGGCGTCCCTGGTCATGACAGGGAGGTTGGATTAAATGATCCCTAAGGTCCCTTCCAGCCTAGGCCATTCTATGATTCTAAAGAAGCCCATGGCATTAGAAGAATAAAAAACTCCCTATATTTCGGTCTGCAATTGAAGCTGATGAGGCACCCTAAATAACATTTAAGAATTGCTCTGGCCAGAGATTCCTTTGAAATATGGGTAATTTCAGCTGCTTACGTTCAGATTAAAAATATTAGTAGTGGGGTTCTCAGGAGTCAAGATACTTGAATAATCCTCACAGATGTATTTTAAATAGGAGAGGTACCTGTCAGTCCTACAAAATAAATATGTAGTAGGATGGAAATAAAAAAAATCCCTCCAAGGTTTTAAAGTGTAAACACAGGCTCTTGCACTAAGTACATGGAGAACTATAGTGAGAAATTAAAACGTTGGGGAAGGAAGTCAGACTAAATTGCAAGGAAAAAGAGGAATCAGAAACTTTATAATTTAACCCTGAGGATAAATGTCCTAAATGATGAGACTATTAGGAATGTAAAGCTGATAAAAGAGACAAACTACTCAAGAGAGTGGAAAGAGGAGGACAAGAGAGACCTTAATGCAGGAATATTGAGCTCTCTTCAGACTCAAGTCAAAGAATGTCTCTGAAATTTGTAACAGTGATCACACTGTGTGTCATAAAAGCCAAACCAGAAATCAAATCAAACATCAGATGGTGTTTCGACCATCGTGACAGAAAAGGAGACATGGCAAATTCTTCATTATCTTTACTCTTTAAATCCTGATGTAATATACTCATTTGCTCCAAGTTTCTAGACTGCGGGTGCTGACTCCCCCATTTCCCCAGTGTAAAGAGAAGGCAATCAGGGATCTGTGAAGCATTGAAAATTTACTGTGCTCTTCCCTTCTCTTTGCACACCCTTAGTCTTCAAGGTCAAGTAACTTTCCTCAATCTCTCAAAGCTCTCCCAGATGATATAGATTTACTGTCACCAATAACTCTTAAACTATTTTATAATAAATTGTGAAAATCTAACTTAAATGAGAAACTTCAATCTAAGAAACTCTAACAGGGCTCATCCAGTTCTGGTCTCTGCGTTTAGTGATAGAACAATGAAACATCATTATACAGATTAGCTAATAAAAGCCTGCGCTGTTACTGGTTGTGACTTTATGCTTTAAGTAACTATTTGTAACAAAAATGAAGCATGGAACTGTTTTGATGAGGAACAAAAACTTAATGTTCAGCTACGAATATATTTTGTACTTGGCTGGTTTTGTAGTATGTTATGAGTTCTACCCTGGGCAAGTGTTGTAGGTATTGGCTGGATTGGCTGCTTCTGTCTTCATTTCTGCTTCTGACAATGTTTCTTAGAATCACAGAATCATCGAATGGCCTAGGCTGGAAGGGACCTTAGAGATCATTTAATCCAGCCTCCCTGTCATGACCAGGGACGCCACCTCTCGACTAGATCAGGCAACATATGGAGACTGAACAGGGATCGAACCCACAACCTTGGTGTTATCAGCACCACACTCAACCGACTGAGCTAACCGGCTCCCTATCTTGTGCTCTTTGGATTACTTTTTTATGAAGATACCGACACTGAAGTTATGCTGTAGGTACCACTTAAGAGCCATTTGTTAGAGATTCAAATAGTAGTTTATTTTTAAAAACCTCTTAAGTAAATTCACCAGTGTATTAGATGAGCGTGATAAAGTCCTTAATTAACTTGTCTATACTGCAGCTAAATGTAACAGGCCTCATAAAGTTCAAATATTATATCTTAATACAGACAGTGAACACTTACAATTACATCGTGTATCCTGGAAGCTTACTTATTACAAGTTCACTGATGTCTTTGTATTGATTAGGAACGTGTAGTTTTCCCAGAAAATCATCCTCTTTCTCTGACATACTGTTTTCCAGGACACTAAGTTCAAGATCAGACATGTTAGATCGCAGGGAAGAGCTAACCTGAGTTACTGACTGGCTTTTTCCTTCAGATGTTGGCCTCTTTCCTACAGGTTCACTTGTTTGCTTCTCCATGGAGATACTGAACTGTTGTGGTTCCTGTTCTTCACCTAATAATGATGTCTCCATTCGAGCAAGGTTAAGTGAATCAACAGATTCACTCTTGATGGATTTTAAGTCACAGTTTCTCTTCAAAGACTGGACTGGAGATGAAGCTGAAGGAACTGGCAGAAAATCTGAGGTACTTTCAGGTCTTTCAGTCTTTGAAATTCTGGACCTACTGGATTCTGGCTCTGTATCTGACCAACCTGGCTTTGGGCTTTCAAGACACAGAGGTTCAGGACTAGAGTCAAGAGCTTCCAAGTCTTTGTCTGTACACTCAGCACTGGTGAAATCTTCTGAATAAACTGTGTTCTCAGGACTAGCAACAAAGTCATCCGAGTATACGAATTCTGAGCCGTTTTCAACGCTCCTGCTGGGGCTTGGTTTTTGATCACTTACAACAGATGCATCATCATGCTCCATGGTTTTGTGATGGATTAAATGTACTGCTTCCTCATTACTTCCATTTGCATTAGCATCTGAGGGGAAAGCTGCTGGGAGCTGGGCTTTCACATACTTCCCCTTGTGAGCAGATTTTAATACAGTTTCCTCCTGCAAGGGGGATGTAGTTACTTTGCATGGATGGTCCTGGCTTGCGATTTCATCACTCTTCAGGAGACTTGTAATAGCCTTTTTCTGCAGGTGAGCGGACACATCTTCTGTGAAAGAACTGTGTTCTGTGAGAAGGCTGTTTCGTAACAAAGTCTCAACACTTTTATCAAAGTGACTACTCTGCTTTGAACAGTCTCCCTTGCTACAATGCCTGTGAGAAACCACATGCTGTTCTCCAGCATTTCTGAGCAGTTTTCTTTTGGATAAAGGGTTTCTCTCCTTCAGCATCTCCATTTGCTTTTTTCTGTACTGCTCTCTCCTTTCATGAATTATCAGCTTATTGCGGTTGGTCTGCTGCAGCCGTAGTCTCAGTGTTTTTGTCAGTCCATACAACAATTTCCTTCTGGGAGGTCTGTTTTCCTTAGTTTTGCAGTTCTGTTCAGAGCTTGTCTCTCCCTGGGGCACAGCTTTCTTAGGTCCTCTCCCAGCCCGAGGAGATCCTGGTGAGGAGGCTTCTTGCCAGCCTTGCTTGAATTGAGGGCTGCCAGCTCCACTGTTCCCACCAGGCCCCACAGGTGCCTCTGAAGGCTGGAGGGCAGAGGAGTGCCTGGGGGGCTGTGAGGCCATGCCACTGCTCCCCGGAGCCTGGTAGAGCCAGGCTGGGTGGGGGTGGACAGGAGGAGGTACAGCACTGTGGGCAAGCACTGACAGCTCTGCCAACAAGGCACTGAGTAGCGGCAGCTGCCCCAGGGTGCTGTGGAGCTGTGGAGGGCTGCCAAGGTGCAGAAGCGAGGGCCCAGCACTGGGACGTGGGGGGCTCTGGCCGCTGTCTTTGTC